TGGGATCTAAGTTGTTTAGAGCTTTAAACGCCGCATGAGCACCTTAAACTGGAAACCAGTATAGCTCTTTTAAGACAGGGGTTGTGCAAGATCCATAATGGAACCCCAGCCAGTAATTTGGCCGCTATGTTTTGAATCAGCTGTAATTTCTGAGCCGTCTTTAAGGGTAGCTCCACACAGAGCCAAGTGCAACAATCCAATCTGGAAGTTACCAGAGCATGGAGTACTGGGGCCAAGTAATTTCTGTCTAAAAGGGGCTGTGGCCTGCGAACCAGCCAGAGATGGAAAGACATTACTAGTCTCTGCCACCCGAGCGTCCAGTAAGGTAAAGTAAAGGGACCCCTGACCATTAGGTTCAGTCGTGGCCGACTCTGGGGTTGCGGCGCTCATCTCGCTTTATTGTCCGAGGGAGCCGGTGTACAGCTTCCAGGTCATGTGGCCAGCATGACTACGCCGCTTCTGGCGAACCAGAGCAGCGCACGGAAACGCCATTTACCTTCCCGCCGGAGCAGTACCTATTGATCTACTTGCACTTTGACGTGCTTTCGAACTGCTAGGTTGGCAGGAGCAGGGACCGAGCAACGGGAGCTCACCCCGTCGCGGGGATTCAAACCGCCGACCTTCTGATCAGCAAGACCTAGGCTCTGTGGCTTAACCCACAGCGCCACCCGCGTCCCACTGAGTGTCCAGTGAAAAGTGCCAAATCTAGGGGTACCCCTCAGCGACCGACCTGCTCCTTCCAGGGAAGGGCAACCCTGTCCGGAACAGGCAATCTCCCCACCTCTCTGACTTGAAAACTCGGGACATGGAACACAGACATATTCACAGGATTCAGCTTCTATTTATTGGCCTGCATCCGGCCTAACACCACCTCCAAGCATTGGTCTAGTTTCTAAACTCTCTCTACCAATTCAGTCACCCAGGATCCTGCTTAGCTTCAACAAGGTGGTGGCCTTATGTGCCTTCAGATGAGGCTCTGGTTCCTGACCACTGGCCGTGCTGGCTGCGGATGATGGGAGTTGGGAGTCCAATATCTCGAAGGATGCAGGCTAGGCCCTCCTGACGCAGGGCACCGTACAAAACTCAAGTCAAAACAAAATGGCCACTAAGGCACAGCTTTTGGAAGATGTGGCCTTGCAGCCATGCGTGCCAAGAAGAATATAGGCGAAAGTTAAGTCAGCCTTGGAAACAAAAATATCTGCTTATCCCACTAGACAAGGCAGTGGTGATGTACACAAGGACGCTGCAGATAACAAGAAATATTGAGCAACCCGATTCTCCCATTTCCCATGCTGCAAGCTGTGTGTGTGTTGCTAGCATGTAACCGATACAGCCTTTTCCTCCCAACAGGTTTGCCCAGACAGGCATCAGTAACGAACTAGGACAGTGATTTCCAAACAGGAATCCTGGGGTTTCATGGCAGCTAATCAAGGGACTGTAACTTTGCATGTAAAAGGTTCAGTGCTGGCATCTTCAGATAGCGCTGGGCAATGCTAATGCCTGAAACCTTGGACAGTGTTTGCTATGAAGTGTGGACCGGCTTTTGTCAACCTGGTGCCCTCCATATATTTGGGGATGCAATTCCCATCAGCACCTCCCTAGCACCACTGGCTGAGTTAGATGAGCCAATGGTTTTAACTAAGTACAGTGGTACCTTGGGTTAAGTACTTAATTGGTTCTGGAGGTCTGTTCTTAACCTGAAACTGTTCTTAACCTGAAGCACCACTTTAGCTAATAGGGCCTCCTGCTGCTGCCGCGCCGCCGGAGCACGATTTCTGTTCTCATCCTGAAGCACTATTTCTGGGTTAGCGGAGTCTGTAACCTGAAGCGTATGTAACCCAAGGTACCACTATATAGGGCAGCTTTCTATATTCCTAACCTGTCTGATCTTTGGGAATCTTCCTCACTGACCTGGCTCCAGGTACCCCATCTTCTGAATCTGGGCAGATGGGGACTGTGGTGGCAGCCTGCCTACAGAACACCCTCTCTTTTTAAGATATTGGAAAGGAACCATCTTCAAAGGGTTGCAGATGCCAAGTACATTAACTCTCTTAAGATACTGTAAATGCACCAACTTTGAAAGGTTGCAGGGCCAAGTGCATACACTTCAATTTCCCCAGGCCAGGCATTTGGCATTGACTCCCCTTCCAGCTCGCTGACTGCTTGAAACTGCTGTTAGTTTTGCTTTTATTCTCTCTGCTTTTCCTTTCTTAAATTTTAAAATATTGCTTCTATTTGTTTCTTATAAATGAGAGGTGCATTGAGGGATTTCACACAGAAATACACGGCTTATCTTTTTAAAAAATAGAGAAACAGATTCTCACCAGGCAGATATTCATCAGGGGCAGCCTATTCTATCCCAACAGTGCCTTGTCAAAAAAAGTTACACCTGTTGGATCTTTGCAATGCAACTGTAAGGATATTGTGGCAATGCTAATTTTGAACAGGGGAGGGGAAACAAAAGAGGAAGTATTGTACAAAAGGATGCAACATTCCAGCTATTGTTCTCCATTCCTCCTTCAAGGCTAGTCACTGTTTTGGAAAACATCCTCAAGGCCAGAATAATCCATCCTCACCCCCGTGTTTTATGATGGCCTCATCCCAGAAAGGTGGCCCCAGACTCTCAGTAATGACACTGTCCACGATGGGCGTGTGCCATGTTTAAATAAGGGGCTCAGTAATTGGATTTTTTCATACCTCTTCCCCCACTCCCCCCCGCAATCCTAATGGTATCGCCCACTGGTATCCCGGACTCTCCATGAGACTCAGGCTGCTCTATATGCTGACATCAAGGAAAGCGGGGCAATGCCCACCCCCTTAAGAGTAATGGTTTCGCCCCCCAACCCTATGCAGGTAAAGGGCGACGAGGGAGATACCAAGTCTCCGAAAGGGGGGGGGAAGAAAAGAGTTGATAGAGCTCACCCAAGACGGTTCTAGCGGGGCCTGCGACGTGTCTTCTGGCTCGGCCCTGAGGCGACGGGGTCTGATGGGGTCCCGCTCCCGGTAGACCCGGTACAGCCGTGGGCCCAGAACGCAGCTCAGCAGCTTCGCCATCTTGGGACGGACCTGAAGCCAAAACGGCACCGGCAGGGAGAGGGTGGGGAGGAGCTACATTTCCGGGTTTCGTACAGGAAGGGAACCGGGACAAAAGACTTCTGGTTCGCCGCCCCCCCCGCTTTCTTCCCAGAACGCGATTCCGGCGCCTGCTCTTCCCTTCTGCTTTCTAGGGCCGCCAACGCAAGGGGGCATCCGCGTCGCTCTAGCCCTTAAAGGAACCTCAGCCCTATTTTGCTTGAGAATAAATCCCATTGAATTTAGTGGGATTCAGTTCCAACCCTGCTGAGGATGTTTAGGCATACAGTCCAGTCCCAACCTTATTTACACAAATATTATTATTATTGTTGTTGTTATGATTATTATCAGTGCTTTTTTTCGGGGGGACGGGGACACAGGGGTACGCATACCCCTAAACATTTTGTGAATCGTTGTGCTTTTGTCCATTTACTGTATTTATTGCTCCTGATTTGAGCTATAAAATGGTGATTTTCTTGAGTCAAAATGAGAGTACCCCTGAACATTTTTTTAAAGAAAAAAAGCACTGATTATTATTACACTGGACAGAAATCAAGGCATGGATGTAACCAGGATTTGTGTGGTGGGGGAGGGGGGAGAACCTCAGTTAAGTATTTTTTTTATTGTTTTACATGATTTAGGTGGGGAGAGAGCAGTCCCCTGCCCCCCTTGCCTATGCCCATGACTCAAGATAGATAAAAAAATCTGAGAACTGCTAAAATATAGGAAAAACCATCATTAATTTTTTTTAATTAAACATTGGTAGAATTGAAACTATTTGTATTAAAATCACACAAATAATTACAATAGAAATAGCACAGCAGCAGCCCTCTCACGAAAAGCAGTCGGTTCCCCCCAAGCCTGTTGGAACAAGAAGATAGTCACCCGCTGGTTGAAGGAGGGCAAGGAGGGAGCCAGGCTAGCTTCTCCAGGGAGGGAGTGCCAGAATCTGGGAGCTACCACTGAGAAGACCCCGTCCTGCTTCCCCACCGAGCGTGTCTGTGAGGGTGGCAGGACTGAGAGAAGAGCCTCCCCCCTGAAGATCTCAAAGCCTGGGCAGATTCATATGAGGGAATGTGGTCTTTCAGATACCTTGGGAATAAGCTCTGTGATTTTAGCAGGACTTACTTCCAAAATAAATAGTTTTTGCAGGATAAGAAGTGTTTTCCTCCTTTCCCCTCCCCAGTCAATAAATCCCACTTCTTTCTAATCACAGTCACAACAACCTTTCGAGGTAGGTTAGGCTGCCTCAAGGTCACCAGTAATCTTTATGGTGAGTGAGGAACCTTGGGCTCCCATGTCCTAAAAGGTAAAGGGACCCCTGACCATTAGGTCCAGTTGTGACCGTCTCTGGGGTTGCGACGCTCATCTCACTTTATTGGCCGAGGGAGCCGGCGTACAGCTTCCAGGTCATGTTGCCAGCATGACTTAAGGCGCTTCTGGCGAACCAGAGCAGCACACGGAAACGCCGTTTAGCTTCCCACCAGAGTGGTACCTATTTATCTACTTGCACTTTGACGTGCTTTCGAACTGCTAGGTTGGCAGTCCCATGTCCTAGTCGAACACTTAACTGTAGCACCATTCTGGCTTCCAAATAAGCAGGACTCCTTGCACAGGACATTTGATGGTCTTTCTTTATATATCCTCTCCCTCCTGCTACTTCCGCCTTCCCCACAACAAACAAAATCATGCCCTTATAGATAAGCCATCCTCCCAGTGCCCTCAGGGTATGTCGGATGTAGATATGACTTGATGCCTGTATTCTTTGCCTTCCTTTGATGCCTCAGCAGTTTATGGTTGAAAGAAATAAAATAAATACAGCATGTGAGTCAACAAAACACCACTGTAAGAACCCAGAAGGAGAGCCCTGCTAGAAGAGCTCATTTCTGCTGCCTGCAATGTCCAGCCAGAAGCATCTCCCCTCCAAAATGGATGGCGGCCTTCAAAATTTCAAGGTGGCCCTTGCTGCTCTGGCTGCAATCTTCTTGCGGCTTGGCGGTGCTGAACGTAAGATTCCTCTCCCCACCCGCATTCTGAATTGCATTTGTTTTGGTAATGGTGTTAATGAAAGCCTAGAAGTGATGGGCTGGTTTGCATATGTTTGGGACTGGAGGCATAGCTGTCAACTTTTCCCTTTTCTTGCGAGGAATCGTATTCGGAATAAGGGAATTTCCCTTAAAAAAGGGGAAACGTTGACAGCTATGATTGGAGGGGGTGGAGGTGGTGCCAGGCAGCTCTGCTGGGGAGGGGTCAGAAGCAGCGTACTGGGTGTGGTGGGGGTACTGCCATAGCTTCCTGGCAGGTGGGTCGCTGTTGCTTACTGGGAGGGGAGAGGTGGTGGGTTGGTTGGCATGGTGCAAACACGTTAGCATGAGCACCGGGTTGCATACCCTCCAACATTTCTCCAATGAAAAGAGGGGCGTCCTATTCTATCATCAGATGCGGGTGGCGCTGTGGGTTAAACCACAGAGCCTAGGACTTGCCGAACAGAAGGTCGGCGGTTCGAATCCCCATGACGGGGTGAGCTCCCGATGCTCGGTCCCTGCTCCTGCCAACTTAGCAGTTCGAAAGCATGTCAAAGTACAAGTAGATAAATAGGTACCACTCTGGCGGGAAGGTAAACAGCGTTTCCGTGCGCGGCTCTGGTTCGCCAGAAGCGGCTTAGTCATGCTGGCCACATGACCCGGAAGCTGTGCGCTGGCTCCCTCGGCCAATAAAGTGAGATGAGCGCCACAACCCCAGAGTCAGCCACGACTGGACCTAATAGTCAGGGGTCCCTTTACCTTTATTCCATCATCATCATGATAGTAAATGTATTTATTCCATTATCATCATGATAGTAAATGATAGTAAATGTAGACCTCAGCCACTCTGAGCAGCTTCCAACATACAGTGGTACCTTGGTACTCAAATGGCTTGGCTCCTGAACAAATCGGCTCCCAAACGCCGGAAACCTGGAAGTGAATGTTCCAGTTTGCGAACATTTTTTGGAAGACGAACATCCGACGCGGCTTCCACGGCTTCTGATTGGGTGCAGGAAGCTCCTGCAGCCAATCGGAAGCCACACCTTGGTTTTCAAACTGTTTTGGGAATCGAACGGACTCCCAGAATGAATTAAGTTCAAGAACCAAGGTACCACTGTATATAAAAACGCAATAAAACATTAAACATTTTAAAATGACCCTATATGGGGCTGCCTTCAGATGTCTTCTAAAGGTTGTAGAGTTACTCATCTCCTTGGCTCAGTTTTTGTGTCTGTGTGTGTGTTTGTGTGTTTATAACTCCACACCCTCCAACATTTCTCCGATGAAAATAGGGATGTCCTAGGAAAAGTGGAACATTCTAGGATCAAATCAGAAACCAGGACAGCTCCTGTAAATCCTGGACAGTAGGAGATCTTGGAAAATCTGGGATTGGCTCTGCTGGTGTGTTGCACCGTGCTGACCTCCCACCTGCAGGAAGCTAGCACAGCAGTAATTGCCCGCCTGGTGAGACACTTCTGGGAAAGGACTATTAAGACTGCAGAAAGAAAAGACCGAGAGAGATGGACACACACACATACACAGATTCTTCCCAAACCCGAATAACTGTTGGGTGGAAAAGGGCAAATACCTGCTCTCTGCTGCCCCTGGAAGGCAGGACTTTACCTAAGGTTGCAGGAGAGTGGGTTTAAGCTGAGCAGTAGGAGAAACTCTTTAAGGCTAGGAAAAATTGGGCAATGGGAGCAGTTTGTTAGACGTTGTCAGGGGCTCAGGGGCAGAGCCACAGGGGAAAGAGGAGTTGGAGAGCGAAGGGGAAGGATCTGAGGGGAGCTTAGGAGGGTATGACAGTGACCCGGGAGATTCCATGAGTCTCTCCAGCGAATCAGAAGATTCCCAGAAAGAGGCACCCAGGGTCAGGGCAAGGGGGGCCAGCGGTGAGTCCCCAAGCGGCAGCTGGAGATCAGGGCCAGCTTCCCCGCCAGAGCGTAGCGGGGGGGGAAGAAGCCCACAGATCAGAACCAGCGTCCTCTCCAGCAGGGAGAGAGAGTGAGTCAGAACTGACCACGCCTCCGTCGGAGAGTGGAGGGGCGGAGCGGAGGTCAGTTCCAGTCAGCCCCCCGAAGGGGGAAGCAGTGACAGGAGCAGTGTAGCCGTTAGGAGGAAAGTGGCCGGCTGGGCGCGCGCGCCAAGTTCAAATGTGCAGGCGCGCGGGTCAGCAGAAAATCCGGATTGGGAGCCAGGTCCCAAAGCCCACCGGAGACAGGGGGAGGAGTCAGAGGAATCTGCCTCCGAAGAGTCCAGGAAGGGTGGGACCCCAGGGGGCAGGAGGACCCAGAGGTGAAAAGAGCAGAGGAAGAGGTGGAGCAAAGCTCGGGTGTTAAACTGGTGTAGGGGAGGGGAAGAGTCAGACGGAGCTCCGACGGTCTAGAGTTACAGACGTAGGGATGCGCGCCACGGATGTAAAACCAACAATGAACTTCAATAAAGACTTTCGTATATAAAGAGACACTGGCGTTGGTCCTTTGTGAGCTGGGACCTGAGGCACCCCTGACAGACGTCTTCAAGGAGAGGCTGCTGTGGATGCTCTAGCTCTGAATTTGCCCATAGGAACCCTTCCAACTCAATGATAAAGGTAAAGGTAAAGGGACCCCTGACCATTAGGTCCAGTCGTGACCAACTTTGGGGTTGCGGCGCTCATCTCGCTTTACTGGCCTAGGGAGCCGGCGTACAGCTTCCGGGTCATGTGGCCAGCATGACTAAGCCGCTTCTGGCGAGCCAGAGCAGTGCACGGAAATGCCGTTTACCTTCCCACCAGAGTGGTACCTATTTATCTACTTGCACTTTGAGGTGCTTTCGAACTGCTAGGTTGGCAGGAGCAAGGACTGAGCATCGGGAGCTCACCCCGTCGTGAGGATTCGAACCGCCGACCTTCTGATCGGCAAGTCCTAGGCTCTGTGGTTTAACCCACAGCGCCACCCGCATCCCTAACTCAATGATACTGGTTGTATAATTTGAAGGAATTATTCATAGGATGGCTGAGGCTCACCCTGGGGAGCACACTGGGCAAATGGCCTTCCATATTTCTCCACATTATTTTCATTATTGGCTGGAGGGTGTGGGAGGAACATTTTGCCAAATGTTCTCAAACTAGGCGGAATGGGAGGGTGTTTTTTCTTGGGAAGGCAAGGGTGTAGGAATATTCACTGAAAAATTCTCTCGGTTTGAGTGATTTGGCTCTGTAATGCTGAACAAAACCCTGTTGCTAGAGCATAGTTGTGGATGTTGGAGGTGACATGCTCGATGAGGAGGGCTGTAATGAGCAGACAACCTTAAAATTAGTTGGGTGGGAGCCACAGTGTCGGCTGAAATTCTCCACCCGTGGAAGGACACCTCACTTAACATTGTCCAGCGGAGGGGCTGAGATTCTCCAACGGCTCAGGGGGAGCCTGACCAAAAAATAAAAATTTAAGAGAATGTCTTGTTCCGCCCCACCCAAACCCAATGGTATGACTCCAAACAATGCAGCTTCTTCTGTTTCTAATGTTAGATATGGCACTGCCAGTTCAGGGGTTACCAATGGCGTGTCTTCCTAGATGTGTTGAACTGCAGACTCCCAAAATCCTTTGTTGTTGGCCATGTTGGGTGATGTGAGCTGTGTTCCAAAACATCTGAGGTGTTTCTCTTGTGTCTCCTAACCTTCTGGGGCCTAACGAAGCCTTCTCTCCCCACAAGTGATATATGCAGAGAAAGGCTCTTCGCCGGAGCTGCCATGTCCTGGTGAACGTGGGGAAGTATCCTGGTACCTTCAGCAAAGCGGACCCACCCTTCTCTTTTCCAAGCGGGAGAACGGCCCCGTGACTCGTCTCCCAGAGGCCTGGGATCGCCTCAGGGTGCTTCAAAATTACTCCCTTCAGTTTAGCAATGTGACGGACAGCGATCACGGCAGATACTGGTGCAGCTCGGTCAATTATTACGACCTGGTGGTCACCACAGGTGAGTGGACCAGCGTTAAATGAGACTGAAAACGCACTTAGGGTCCCTGTCATACCTGTCACTGTTTTCCTAATATATGGAGTGTTAAGTTGTGGGTGAACATATCAGACGACACAGCGATTCTTCAAACAGCTCTTGTTTATTCACAGGCCAGGACAGAACTGAACTGAAGGGTTCAGCCAGCCTGCTTATATAGAGCTCCACTAGAACGCAACAGTAACCATTTTCTGTAACTATCCAATCACTGAACGTCTCTTTCAATCCCTTATTTGCATATGTGGACCTGAGTGAAAACTATCTACAGTATCCCCCTGCTGGCCCAGGGTGAGAACTTCAGTACATAACATGGAGCACTTATGACCTTTGCTTCTCTTATGGAAAAATAATAAAATCCATTTAAACTGACGAATCCCCAGCTCCTATCTTATTCTGAACCCTTTCTATAGGGACATAAGACTGTAGTTCAATCTGTGGCATCTCCAGGCAGGACTGGGGAGAGTCATTCTCTGAAATCCAGCAGTGCCACTGCCATTCAGCAAGGCCGGTCCACGACATTTTTCTGCCTGAAGCAAATGACAAGATGGTGCCTCCCCTCCTCCTTAAATGTACAGAAGCCTACCAGGCTGGAAGTTAAATCTTACTTCGAAACTGGACACAGGGCATTGTCCTCTGCCCAGGGGTGCCAACTTGAATAAAATAAAAAAATATGGGGGGTGGGGGAGTAAGGTAATCCCCACCCCACCTAATCAGCCATAAGATTCAGTATGTTGTTGTTTAGTCGTTTAGTCGTGTCCGACTCTTCGTGACCCCATGGACCAGAGGACGCCAGGCACTCCTGTCTTCCACTGCCTCCCGCAGTTTGGTCAAACTCATGCTGGTAGCTTCGAGAACACTGTCCAACCATCTCGTCCTCTGTCGTCCCCTTCTCCTTGTACCCTCCATCTTTCCCAACATCAGGGTCTTTTCCAGGGAGTCTTCTCTTCTCATGAGGTGGCCAAAGTACTGGAGCCTCAGCTTCAGGATCTGTCCTTCCAGTGAGCACTCAGGGCTGATTTCCTTCAGAATGGATAGGTTTGATCTTCTTGCAGTCCATGGGACTCTCAAGAGTCTCCTCCAGCACCACAATTCAAAAGCATCAATTCTTCGGCGATCAGCCTTCTTTATGGTCCAGCTCTCACTTCCATACATCACTACTGGGAAGACCATAGCTTTAACTATACGGACCTTTGTTGGCAAGGTGATGTCTCTGCTTTTTAAGATGCTGTCTAGGTTTGTCATTGCTTGTCTCCCAAGAAGCAAGCATCTTTTAATTCCGTGACTGCTGTCACCATCTGCAGTGATCATGGAGCCCAAGAAAGTAAAATCTCTCACTGCCTCCATTTCTTCCCCTTCTATTTGCCAGGAGGTGATGGGACCAGTGGCCCATTTGAATACACACACCATTTGAATGGCAATGCCTCTTAACTTTGTGGCGGGGTGGGCGGCCCCCTCAAATATTTTATTGGGTGTGTGTGAAGAGAGCTCAGCCCCTAGGAGTTGGCTCCTATGCCTCTGCCACACCTGAGGGCAGCAGGATAGCTCTGTAGGGGGGTGGGGCAGTGTAGGCAAAGTGGTACAACAACGCTCTCCGCTGTGCACCTCTCAGCATCTGCCGCCTGAGGCAGCTGCCTCACTCTGTCTCATCATAGGGCCGGCCCTGGCAGTCAGTGTAGGCGATGCTGAACTAGATAGACCGATGGTTTGACTTGGGATAAGGCCGCTTCCTATGTTCCCTATTCCCAGTAACCGCTGCCATTGGTGGGATAATGAGTTGGCTAGCTGGACCATAAAGAAGGCTGATCGCCGAAGAATTGATGCTTTTGAATTCTGGTGCTGGAGGAGACTCTTGAGAGTCCCACGGACTGCAAGAAGATCAAACCTCTCCATTCTGAAGGAAATCAGCCCTGAGTGCTCACTGGAAGGACAGATCCTGAAGCTGAGGCTCCAATACTTTGGCCACCTCATGAGAAGAGAAAACTCCCTGGAAAAGACCCTGATGTTGGGAAAGATGGAGGGCACAAGGAGAAGGGGACGACAGAGGACGAGATGGTTGGACAGTGTTCTCGAAGCTACCAGCATGAGTTTGACCAAATTGCGGGAGGCAGTGGAAGACAGGAGTGCCTGGCGTGCTCTGGTCCATGGGGTCACGAAGAGTCGGACACGACTAAACGACTAAACAACAACAACAACCAGGCCAGTCCTACCCTGGAAGACCCTCCCGTCTCTGAACCAGCGAGTCCTGGAGATCCCTGGCAATGAAGAGAAAGGCGCTAAGCCCGTCCCACCTCCTGCCCCAGTCCCAAATGCTTCTTAAATTGAACATGGCACACCAGAGATGCTTCTTTCTCATCCAGGCACTAAGCGGATGCTGGAGAGCAGACGGTCTGATCTCGTGTGCTACGTCCTGAGCTGCTCTGTCTCGAGCAAGGAATTAGGCAATAACGTGGTGAGCTGGTGGGAAGGCAAGAAGGCTCTCCAGCAAGGCGAGAAGGAGAGAGACTACAGCATCTTCAAAGGTCACAGGGCATCTCAGCTCCACATTTGCTTGAGGGAAGGGAAGGAGACTAAAGAGAGAAGAGTGAAGTGCAGCTTTGCTGAGAAGCAGGAGATCGCCTTCCGTTTGACAGGGAGGGAACAGGATTCGTGCGGCTGCTGCGGTTGGCTGCCCTTTCCTCCAGGTAAGGGGCTTTCTAGGTATTTGGGCTACTTTGCAGGGAATCCGCTCTCTAGGGAGGAGGTAGCTAAAGTTCTGAGATATTGATGACTGCGTGCATGTATTTGAAAGGGCTGTGGAATCGCTAACTGAGGGGAGGGAAACATAGAGCCTCTAACACACCTAAGTCTGTGTACAGACGACACAGAAAGTAGCCGCTGCTTTAGGCGATGTTATCGCACAAAGGTGCGTACAGTCGCAAACCGCTCTATACAAAAGCGCCCTGTGAAGAAATTACTCCTGTGTGTTTCAAAGCCTACATGCCTGCACGGCTGTAGATTGCAATATGTTATTGTTGCAATAACAGTGGGTGGCGCTGTGGTCTAAACCACTGAGCCTCTTGGGCTTCCCGATCAGAAGGTCGGCGGTTTGAATCTGCGTGACAGGGTGAGCTCCCGTTGCTCGGTCCCAGATCCTGCCAACCTAGCAGTTCGAAAGCAGTGCAAGTAGATAAATAGGTACCGCTGCGGCGGGAAGGTAAACGGTGTTTCTGTGTGCTCTGGCTTCCGTCACACTGTCTCGTTCCACCAGAAGCAGTTTAGTCATGCTGGCCACATGACCCAGAAAGCTGTCTGTGGACAAACACCCTAGGGCTGAAAGTGAGATGAGCACCGCAACCCCATAGTCGCCTTTGACTGGACTTAACTGTCCAGGCATCCTTTACCTTTACCTTTTACCCTTAATGGTGCAATAATACTCTGCTTGCACACCTTACATTTAAAGCAGATTTCCACACACCCCAGAGAATGTTGGGAACTGTAGTTTGTTAAGGGTGCTGAGAAATACAGCTTTGTGAGGGGTAAACTTCTTGGGGTAGGAATGTGCTTTAAATATAGGTGACCCTCAACTGAAGTGGGGATTGCGTTCCAGGGTTAGCATGTAAAGCCAAAATTGTTTGTATTCAGTGGTGGGTGGGATTGCAAAGGTCTTTTCCCCTGGACGCTCACTCACTTTCTGAACCCTTTTACTTTTTATTTTTTTGCCTTTGCATGAAGCTGCGTGTGCACAAGTTAAATGTGCATAAGTTGCAAGTTAACTGCATTTGGTGTGTATGTAGCCATCTTGCATTCGGTTAGATTTATTCCGGATGATCCACACATAATTCTGCTTTATTAGTTCTGCTGTGTTCTGCTAGTAGCGTTACTTATGGTGCCATTGCCATCTAGAGGTGCAATTTTGAATTACAGCACAAAAAATGGGACAAAAACAAAACCTCTGGAATGTTTGTGATATGAAAAGTTAACGGGATTTTATCAGGAAACTGCGTGGAACATGCAACCAACTAGAAACAAAGCCATGTGTCTGTCCCAAAGCCTTTGCAGGTGCAAGCTGTATTGACAGCAGGATAATACAGAACTACTGCAAAACTACCATGAGCACAAATCACCATTAAAGGTAAAGGTAAAGGTACCCCTGCCCGTACGGGCCAGTCTTGACAGACTCTAGGGTTGTGCGCCCATCTCACTCAAGAGGCCGGGGGCCAGCGCTGTCCGGAGACACTTCCGGGTCACGTGGCCAGCGTGACAAGCTGCATCTGGCGAGCCAGAGCCGCACACGGAACGCCGTTTACCTTCCCGCTAGTAAGCGGTCCCTATTTATCTACTTGCACCCGGGGGTGCTTTCGAACTGCTAGGTTGGCAGGCGCTGGGACCGAGCAACGGGAGCGCACCCCCGCCGCGGGGATTCGAACCGCCGACCTTTCGATCGGCAAGCCCTAGGCGCTGAGGCTTTTACCCACAGCGTCACCCGCGTCCCTCAAATCACCATTAATGCACAATTAAAAAGATGTCTGGAGGGGTCCTAGATGCAATGCTTGATAGTGTCCCCCACTATTGCATCAGCTGGTCAACACGGTATTGTTTAATAGTACCAGTATTCTGGAAAGGGTCTCCTAGTTTAGTAACAGAGCATCTGCTTTGCATGCAGAAGGTTCAGTCACCAGATAGGAATAGGACTGTACCCTGCCTGAAACCTGCTACTGCCAGTCAGTGTATACAGTACTGAGCTAAGTGGACCAATGATCTAACTCGGTGTAAGGTAAGGTTACCAGATTTCCCCCCAATGAATCTGGGGACACTTTAAATAAATAAATAAATAAATAAATACTACACGTTCAGGATGTTGATGTTGCAGTGACGGCATGGCAGAGGGGTTGCCACCGCCTTGACCTCAACCGCCACGTTTCCTCTTCCTCTGAGGCTTCTATCTCCTTTCTCCATGAGCCTGGGTAGCCCCTGAGTTGTTGGTTCTTCGGTGGTGGGGAAGCGGTGCATGGTGGGTCAGGCATGGAAGGCGGAGAAGGAGGGCCAAGAGTGGTGGTGGCAGAGGCGAGGCTCGGGCAGCGAGATGCCGCCCTTCCCATCAGAGGCTTCATGCTGCCCTTTGGAGCAGCCTCCCAACTCCTACTTGTGTGCAAGCAGGAGGGGGCACAGATCCCTCAGCTGGGAAGGGAAGCTTCCTGTTACCTAAATGAGAGATCCCTGCCCCCTCCTGCTTGCACGCAAGCTCTGTGAAGCCTCCCTTCACAGCTGAGAGATCCCCTCTGCTCCTGCTTGCACACAAGTAGGAGTTGGGAGGCTGCTCCAAAGGGCACGTGAAGCCTCCCTTCACAGCTCAGTTGCTGGGGTCAGGGAAGGTGGAGGCAGCCCGGAAGCTGCATCTTAGAGCCCCTGCACCACCATCATATGGGGACTTCCGAGCAGCTCCTGAAGCCAGCCAGAGCCAACTGCTCCGGGCTGCTGAGACTGCCGCTGCTGCGTTTCCCAGGGACATGAGATGAAATCCGGGGGCATTCCGGGCATGGAATTTGTCCGCGGACTTATTTGCAAATCTGGGGACGGTCCCCGGGAAACAGGGATCTCTGGTTACCCTAGTGTAAGGCAGCTTTCTACGCTGTTCCCTGCTCAATGTCATATACTGGCTGGGTAAAGAGGATTGATGGGAGGCATCAGCTGGGGAACTCCCAGAGTGTCAGGGAAAGGCCTGAAGCAGAGGATTGGGGAATGCATGCTCAGGCAGATCAGCTTCCCTCAGAAGAGGGGCTGGGGGGAGACTCACCCCCCTTGTTTCCAGCAGTCTCAGAAGCAGAGGGAGACACAGACACAGAGCAGATTAGACAGGAGTTGCCTAGTTACGAGATAATGGCAAGAGAAATAGGAGGGAGGGCACAGATAGCAGAGACCTTATTAGAGACTGTGCAGGACCCTCCCTCCCCACGAACTAGGAGATCCGAACGTATGTGAGAACAAAGGGTGCAGAGAGGAGGACAAGGAACTTCCTGTTGGTGAACAGGATGTTGTGGGAGATGGAAGGGGGAAGAATTGGAGTAGCCAACTGCTCTCCTTGTGGAGGAAAGTGGATTTTTGCTTGCAACCTGATGCCTGAATAAAAAGGACTGTAGAATATAAACTGCTCGTTAATTCTTATCTGTGAAGTTACCAAAGGGGGAGGCAGACTCTCCACGCATGACACAGAGGCTTGGTGGTAGGACAACGATGAGCAGTCAGAAGGGAAGACTGGGAGGCGGAGGTGTGGGAAGCTGAAAAGGTAACAGGGTTTAGTGAGCAGGGAGAGTCTGTGGCAGAGAGCAGCCCAGAATCAGAGGCAGAAGCGGAGGCTGGTGAGGAAGGGGGCAGTGAGGCAGAGTGGTGAAGAAGCCAAGGAATCTCCCCCTCCTGCTGTGACAAGCTCGTCTTCCCCCTGGTCTCCCAGGACCAGAAGAGGCATGAAGTGGGAGGAACAACGAGAGAGAAGATGAAGGAGCCTCAGGTTGCTGGCGAAGGACCCAGGAGAGGAGCCGTAGAGAGCGGTGGGAAGGTGGGGACATTCACTCCCTACTGGGAAGAGTTGCTGTGATCCCAAGGCCTGCACTGTTCTGGTTTCTTTGAATAAAAAGTTAACTTCTCAGGCACTGGGCGTTTTATTGCTGACCTGATCCTGACACTCTAGTACAGTGGTACCTCAGGTTAAGTACTTAATTTATTCTGGAGGTCCGTTCTTAACCTGAAACTATTCTTAACCTGAGGTACCACTTTAGCTAATGGGGCCTCCCACTGCCACCACACGATTTCTGTTCTCATCCTGAGGTAAAGTTCTTAACCCAAAGTACTATTTCTGGGTTAGTGGAGTCTGTAACCTGAAGCATCTGTAACCCGAGGTATCACTGTACCAACATTTTGGGAATCAAAAGGTTGGAAACCTTCTCTGGTGCACTGTGGGGGAGAAGCTGGAGCCAGGATTTCACGGTCTTGTTCTCTCCTGTAGGAAAAGTAAAAGGTTCCTTAACGCCTCCATGTCCAGAAAGTGAAGAAAATGGGGGCACCTGGATCCCGCTGGCAGTTTGTGTCACGCTGCAGTCTGTAATCATATTCGTGCTGGGATTGCTGCTATGGAGAAGCTGTCGGTAAGTGGAGAATGGTCCTGACCAGGCTGGTGAGCATCAAGAGGAATGGAAGAAGGGAAGACCTTGGATCGAGGTCGTAGGGAGTTGTTGTTGGTCAGAAAAGATGGTACAGAGCTAGGAAACCAAGCGGGGCTGGTTTCAAAGAGGCCTCGTTGCATTCAATACAAACGAAACTTCCCCCGAGCTGCATTAAGTCCTGTAGAACCAGTTCTGCTCATTCCCAACACAGTCAGTTTGAGCCAGGAAAAGTCAGCTGCGGAGAGTGGCTACTGGCCAGCACCTGGGACGTCACCACCTCTGCAAAGCGTTGGTGGCATTTGTGTGTTTTGAGTGCACAGGTGAAGAGTGGGTGTGTAAACAGGTAAGTGTCCTCGTGTTGGTTTATTAATGGTAATCCCCCCCCAAAAAAGGCAGATAGCTGGTCTGAAGGACCCAGCGAGGAGCAAGATTGCCAGCTGACTCAGGGAACTTGCATGAAATGTAAGAAAGAAAAGGATTAAAAAAAAATGAAACTGTCACACCAAATCTCTGTGGCTACCACGTTTGGAAAAAGCATATATGGGTCTGAACACAGCATCTCAAAAAGGGAATTGCAGAGTTGGGAAAGGTGCAGAAAAAGCCGGACAAAGTGATCCAGGGGCTGGAGCAGGAAGGAGGAAAAGGCACAAATGTTGCTCCTATTCAGTGGTAGGCAGGGCTGGAGGCAAAAATGGGCAGCTCAAGAAATGTACTGTATTCTTTGCTCTGTAAGACTCACTTTTTCCCTCCTAAAAAGTAAGGGGAAATGTGTGCGCGTCTTATGGAGCGAATGCAGGCTGCGCAGCTATCCCAGAAGCCAGAACAGCAAGAGGGATTGCTGCTTTATCCCTCTTGCTGTTCTGGCTTCTGAGATTCAGAATATTTTTTTCTTGTTTTCCTCCTCCAAAAACTAGGTGCGTCTTGTGGTCTGGTGCGTCTTATAGAGCGAAAAATATGGTACATTTTACCACAGTAGGCTAGTTGATGTACTCACCCCTGCACCCCACTGTGGCCTCCATTGAAAGAGGAAAGAGGCCTCACCCAAGTTCAAGTTCAAGGGAACATCCCAGCCACCTAGGGTTCGAACCAGGACTGGTAAGGGGGTGGCAGCCTAGGGAGAGTGCTGAGGGCCACACAGAAAGGCCTGCAATCGGCTTCTGGGCCACAGCTTTCCAGTCCCTATTGGACACCAGACACAGGCCACTTCAACCCACACCCTGCATTTAACACACATTTATTTATTTTTGTTTTTTAAAAAATTAATTAATTTTCAGTTACAAAAAATCCAATATATGCCATATTATATTAATACCAAACAGCAATACCAATTCAAAGACAAATCAATCACATAGCCAATTATAAATTTTGTGTGGCTTCCAACGTGTTGTATGTCAAGGTCAGATTCCCTTTAAATCTGCCTCCAGATTATCGCTCAAACCAAATACAATCCATTATTGATAAAAACCCTTACACCACAGCTACAGTGATTAACTTCAATTCATATTAACACATAGATTAATTCGTAAGTTTGCAAGTGAAGTTCTCCTTTCTTCTTCCTGTGTGAGGTTTTAACTTCCATCAATTGTTCCTTTAATTTTTCATCCAATATTATGTCCATATTATTTATTCCTGATTTCTTTTGTGCCTTACGGCTCTGTTGAGTTACTTTGGAGAGGTCTCACCCTTTGTTCTCAACTCTTCTGTAAAATTCCACTTTCGATTTCAAGCCGGGAGACATTTAAATCGCATGAGGATCCTGCGCACTGTTAAGGATGTTAGCTCTGTGACCTATCGATCTATTTATTTATTCCCCACCCTTCTTTCACCCTAAGTCCCCAGAGCAGGTTACAGCATTAAAGCACAATATTTTAAAAAAAAAACATTTCGAACAACTAACTTACAGCCATCAAAATTGCTTGCCATTTACAGCTACAGTTCCAGCATTCGTTGGGAGAAGTCCCTAAAGTAGTATACAGTGGTACCTCGGGTTAAGAACTTAATTCGTTCTGGAGGTCTGTTCTTAACCTGAAGCTGTTCTTAACCTGAGGTACCGCTTTAGCTAATGGGGCCTCCCACTGCCGCCACGCAATTTCTGTTCTCATCCTGAGGTAAAGTTCTTAACCCGAGGTACTCTTTCTGGGTTAGTGGAGTCTGTAACCTGAAGCGTCTGTAACCCGAGGTACCACTGTAAATGTCTTTTTATTGTATGGCGAGCATGAGACCTATGTGACATGTTGCCCTGCTGGCCAGTGAGTGACACTGGAAGGCAACCTGCATTTTTGCTTTCCTTCTGAGTCAATCTTTCCCATCTCTCCTTGCAGCCAGAAGCATCCAGCCCACCTTGAGCAGCTCAGGAAAGGTACGTGCTTGGAGGTTCCCTGGCTTCTGTGCCTACATTCAGGGATGTTTCGACATCTGAAGGCAGGGAAGTTTTAAATGTTTGACGTTTTACTGTGCTTTTGTTTCTAATTCTTTATTGAAAAGCAAAAAGTGCAAAATTACAAGTGCACAGATTAAGACACAAACAAGAAGCAGCAGCAAGAAATAGCACCCATTTGGAAAACAAAACAAAACAAAACAGAAAAAAAGATATTGTGTGGACAATACAATATGTTATTTTAGTTATAGTGTTTGTAATATTTTGTTGGGGAGCCGGGCAGAGTGGCTGGGACAACCCAATCAGATGGTTGGCATATACCGTACTTTTCCGTGTATAAGACGAGGTGTGTTTTTTAATTAAAAAATAATGTTAAGAATTGGGGGTTGTCTTATACACAGATAGTGCATGGGGGTGTGTGTGATTTGTTGCTGCCGCAAACCGGAGATTGTCAGCGGCTACTGGGCGTGTTATTGGTGGTTGTGGCAAGGGCTGTTGTTGATTGGCTGTCGCCGCGGCAATTGGGTGGGCGATTGGTGGCTTCTGCCAGCGAGGGGGCAGACGATAGGTGGCTTTTGCGATGCCTGCTAGTGGCAGCATATGTCAGTCAGGTGGCCCCCCCCCCATTAAAAAAGCTCAACAACTCTGGGCCATTTCCCCCCATTCTCTTAAAATAGGGGGCGTCTTATACATGGGGGTGTGTTATACACGGAAAAATACGGTAAACATTATTATTATTATTATTATTATTATTATTATTATTATTATTTGGGGTGGAAAGTGCAAAGGAAAGTGTGGCTGGTAATGCAGCTGGAGCAAGGAATTCTGGGTTGGCTAGGGGAGAGTCCTAGTGAGTTGGAGCAGGGAGGGTTGTGGGTTGACCCTCGCAGTACGAGGCCTGCATATCTTTGGCCTAATTGCGTCTTGGCACGGACATCAAAAGCCCTCTAGCCTCGGCCGGGACGCTTCACATACCTCTGTCTCTGCCGGGTCGGATTGCAGCCATGAGCAGCCTGACGCTCGTGTAAGCGCTGTGGATCTGGGCCGGCCCATAACCCTGTTGCTGGGATGCTGCCAGGAGACAGGGGCAATTGACAGGCTCCCAGCTGGCTCCACCCACCGGCCAGCAGCCGGGCAACATCGGAATAGCATCAAAACTGCGACTCAAGCCTCAGAAACCTTGAGAGACTGAGCACGCAATCCAGCAGAGATAAGAACTCTTTGCAGCGGAAGTAGCGGACAGAGACATGTGTAAGCATATTTACAGCATTTATTCAGCAGCAGGACAAAGGGAAAACATGTCTTCTTCCCTCCGTGTCCAAGCAAAACAGCAGCATTGCAAAAGCAATATACAACGGAAGTTCCCAGCAGATTGTGCTGGAAGTAAACAGACATGTGACATACAACAACTCCACATACAGTGGTACCTCGGGCTACATATGCTTCAGGTTACATACGCTTCAGGTTACAGACTCCGCTAACCCAGAAATAGTGCTTCAGGTTAAGAACTTTGCTTCAGGATGAGAACAGAAATTGTGCTCCGGCGACGCGGCAGCAGTAGGAGGCCCCATTAGCTAAAGTGGTGCTTCAGACAGTCCTGCTCTAGATGGACCAAATTGTCTGACTTGGTATAAGGCAGTTTTCCATGCTCCACTGCTACATGTGGGATTCTTCCTGCTTCTTCTGCTAAAGAGTGGGGGGGAAAGACATATCGGGTGTCATAATTTTGTGATCCAATAGGTGGGAGTGTTTGGCAAGTCAGACCAACTATGCACAAATAACTGATGAGGTGGTGAAATTGTCCCTGCACTGTGCTGTGTGTCAGATTGCAGATAGGGGCATGCATAAATAAATAAATCACAGCACATACAGAACTAAAAATAGTGAGGGGTTATCCTAGAAACGGTTTTCCTCAAGTTTGTTTATTTTTTAAGTGAGAGAGCGTCCAGCTACGCAGTCCCCCCCCCCCTGAAGTGGCCGAGCCCTGTTCAGGAACTGCATCTGCTTTCTGTGTGAACTAGACTCAAGCATAGGTAAAGGTAAAGGGACCCATGACCGTTAGATCCAGTCATGGCTGACTCTGGGGTTGTGGTGCTCATCTTGCTTTATTGGCCGAGGAAGCCAGCGTGCAGCTTCTGGGTCATGTGGCCAGCAGGATTAAGCCACTTCTGGCGAACCAGAGCAGCGCACGGAAACGCCGTTTACCTCCCCGCTGGAGCGGTACCTATTTATCTACTTGCACTGGCGTGCTTTTGAACTGCTAGGTTGGCAGGAGCAGGGACCGAGCAACGGGAGCTCACCCCATCGCGGGGATTTGAACCGTCGACCTTCTGATCAGCAAGCCCTAGGCTCTGTGGTTTAACCCACAGTGCTACCCGTGTCCCTAGACTCAAGCATACTTCATACTTTTCAAGCACATAGCTTCTTCCCCCAAAGAATCCTGGGAACTGTAATTTGTCAAGGGTACTGAGATTTGTAGCTTGGAACTATACAGTTCCCAGGATTCTTTGGGGGAAGTCATGCGGTTTGAATACGTGGTGTGGATCTGCATGCCTGGGGTAGGATAATAGTTTATTGTTTCTGTGTCTGCCTGTGAGCCACACTGCGTGTTTCGTTAGAGGTTTTTGAGAGCAGAAATGTTTTAGTATCTGTGTCTCTGTGAGTTCTACAATTCCATCGCACAGCGGATGTGAAATTTGTGATCAGAATTCAGCACTGAGAGACACATCAGAGAAACACTTTCTTTTTCTTTTCAAAACAGAAGCAGATAATAGCTGATTATCCCTCCCCCAAATTCTGAGCAGAATACAGTGGTACCTCAGATTAAGAACTTATTTCGTTCTGGAGGTCCGTTCTTAACCTGAAACTGTTCTTAACCTGAAGCACCACTTAGCTAATGGGGCCTCCTGCTGCCGCCACGTGATTTCTGTTCTCATCCTGAGGTAAAGTTCTTAACCCGAGGTACTATTTCTGACTTAGAGGAGTCTGTAACCTGAAGCATCTGTAGCCTGAAGCGTCTGTAACCCGAGGTACCACTGTAATGCATTTTGCAAACTAAGCAAACACAACCAATTGCATAATTGATTCTGGCTGTGGCAAACACCCCTTGTTTTGATATAATTACCTTCCGCGGGATTTTGATTGGGAAGCCCAGAGCATACACAGGTGAAAAACAGAATGACTCATCCCTCTGTCATTTCACAGATGTTTCCAAGTTGGACGGCACATCGCAAGTCTATGTGAATGTCAGGACCTGATGAGAGATGCCTGCTGTGGCGAAGGAAAGCCTTTGGTTCCCAATGAGTCAGCCCACCCTGGACCACACCCAGTGGAGCTTGTATGCTGTTATGACCCTCCGGCATTAACTTTTTCCAGGCATTGATTTTATCTGTCCTTCCAGGGAAGACTTTCCACCTTGCCAAACCTTCCCTAGATTTCTGCATAATGCTCGTAGATGGAAGGATCAGGCACAGAAACCAATTCTCCCTGCAAGATATCTTATTATCTGTGTCCGTTTTTCATTTGAAGCAGTTTCCTGCCTGGTCTCGTGTTGAATATTTGGGGAGGCCATCCTCTCAGCATCAGGATTTTGGGAGCGGTTGTACTGTTAACAGTTGGGGCTTAGCCACACTTATCTTTTGCCTTGCTCCTTCCACATACAGGTGTGCACTTTGAAGCTCTTTGTCCGAGCTCCACTTTTTCCTCAATGAAAACCTGCTATTTACTGTCGAATCAGAGCAAACTGTAATCCGCAGAAAACCAGAAATTGCCATTGTTGTGCTTCAGCTTTAAAAAGCAGGTTTTTGTGGGAAAAGCTCCAGGGGTGGGTGGGGTGGAGCTCGAACACAGAGCTTTAAAAATGCCTGGAAAAAATGCGGGGGGGGGGAGGGGAGGAAAGTGTGGAAAAGCACCCTGCTTATGCGTGGTGTAGTGGTTAAGAGCGGTGGACTCGTAATCTGGTGAACCGGGTTCGCTTCCCCGCTCCTCCACATGCAGCTGCTGGGTGACCTTGGGCTAATCACACTTCTTTGAAGTCTCTCAGCCCCACTCACCTCACAGAGTGTTTGTTGTGGGGGAGGAAGGGAAAGGAGATTCTGAGCTGCTTTGAGACCCCTTAAGGGGAGTGAAAGGTGGAATATCAAGTCCAAACTCCTCCTCCTCCTCCTCTTCTTTTTCTTCTTCTTCCAGCAATGTTCCACTGCCACTAAACATTTCACCAGCAGAACAGGTGCACTGCTAAGTGGCTTTAACTTACCTTGGATATAATCTTATATGTCAGCACATGAAGTTTATATATATTCTTTATTGAAAAATAAAAAGTACGAAATTACAAGTGCACCGAATAAGATAAGACACAAAAAAGAAGAAGAAACAAGAAATAGTATCCATGTTGAAAACGAAACAGAACAAGCAAACGAAGAGATATTGTGTGCATTGCAAAAAAGGGGAGAAATTTGTTATTGTAGTTAACCAGACCTTAATCTAATATGGTATTTATAAAAATGAATTCCAAAAAATGTTAAATTTGTCCATGGCAAGTTTACGTTTCTACACAAAGTTTATACAAGTCTTCGATTATTAAAAGGAACTGCATTTTTATTTTTCCGGTTCATCAACGTGTGGAGCTTTTCAGAGCACGATCATGAGCATCGCCGCTTGACAATAAGCACCAGCCAAGCTGCTGTTAAAAGCACAGAAGCTGGGATCTTGGAAGAAGTTGGCAACTTTCATGACCCCTGTGTGCAAGGGGAATTCCTGCCCACCCCCCAGGTGCAGTGTATCCTGGAAAGGTGTGGCAGGAACTTGGGACCTGCAGGGCGGAAAAGCAGAGAGGTCAGTCACAGGCAAAGGCAGAGCCCAAGACAGGCAAGAGCCAATAGGTTCTCCACTGAGCCCTGTCATCCCTCCTGAGTTCTGCAAAGGCAACCCTGAGACTAAGGAGGAGAAGGAGGAATCATTGTCATTGTCAGGGCCGTCTTTAGTATATGTGGCGCCGGGGTGCAAAGATCCACCCAGCGCCCCCCCAATTTTTTTGGAGGGGGGGGCAGGTCAAAGTTGTTGAGCTTTGAAGGAGGGAAACAGCAAAAACATGAAAAAATAGAAAGCGGCAGTGATAACACCCATCTTCCATTTTTGCAATCATGCGAAAATGAAAGACACCACTAGGGGGCTCCACCAGATACATTGATTCTGCAGCTCTTCCGCAAAAGACAATGGAAATGATGATGATGATGATAATTTATTATTTATACCCCACCCATCTGGGCAGCTTCCAACACAATATTAAAATACAGTAATCTATTAAACATTAAAAGCTTCCCTAAACAGGGCTGCCTTCAGATGTCTTTTCTAAAAGTCTGGTAGTAGTTGTTCTCTTTGACATCTGGTAGGAGGGCGTTCCACAGGGCGGGTGCCACTACCAAGAAGGCCCTCTGCCTGGTTCCCTGTAACTTGGCTTCTCGCATCAAAGGAACCCCCAGAAGGCCCTCGGAGGAGGACTTCAGTGTCCAGGCAGGGACATGGTGGAGACGCTCCTTCAGGTATACTGGACTGCTGGAAATGACCCAGTGATCGACTGCGATCAACCAGGGATTGACCTGTTGAACATCCCTGAGGTAGATAGTGAAGAGCTTAGGTGGCTTCAGCGGCGGGCGCCTGGCACCCCCCAGAGTTCAGCGCCTGGGTGTCCTCTACCCCTTGCACCCCCGAGTAAAGATGGCCCTGGTCATTGTCATGCCTTGGGTGAATTGCAAGGAAGAAGGCAGGCAAGTGGGAACTGAACTCGCCTGTTTGCCCTCATGGATGAGCCTCCTCTCTGCAAGAGACGACACTTGGCTACTTTGAGGAATGGCAGAAGATGTGTTTATATATCACAGCTTAACGGGACTTCCTCTTGTAATCCTGTGAGCATATCTAAAACTAGCAGACTAGGAGCACAGTCATATTATACCTGTCTGCTCAGGAATCCCATTGAGTTCAGTGGGGAGTTACTCCCACGTAAGCGAGTATACAGCTGCCGCCTAAAAAGACCTCTCCCTTAGGAGCTCTGGCGATTGTAGTTCTGGGAAGGAGGGCAAAAGAATATTTCAAGGAGTAATAACAATTCCTAGCATACTTTGGAGGAGGCAGTGATAACCGTTACACCCAGCTCTCTCCAAGTGCTGAGAAGTTTACTAGTGAGACCTTTGCTTCGTTCTGTTTCCTTTGAATAAAGTGCCTTGAGGTTTACTGGTGTTTTGAGACAGACAGACAGACAGACTACATTAGATAGACAAACAGATAGATAGATAGATAGATAGATAATTTATTACAGTCAAAGACCACCTCACATAACATAACACAATAAAAACAGCATTTATAAAGATAAAATATACAATCGGAGCAGATTGCAGGAATAGGTTGGGAGTTAAAATTGAGATACATACATACACCCGTACAACTGAGATTTGGGCTACCAAAGGGAGATTTCAGCATTTCCCTAGTAAGCTATTTACCGTATTTTTCGCTCTATAAGACTCTCACCAGACCACAAGACGCACCTAGTTTTTGGAGGAGGAAAACAAGAAAAAAAATATTCTGAATCTCAGAATCTCAGAACAGCAAGAGGGATCGCTGTGCAGTGAAAGCAGTGATCCCTCTTGCTGTTCTGGCTTCTGGGATAGCTGCGCAGCCTGCATTCGCTCCATAAGACGCACATACATTTCCCCTTGCATTTTAGGAGGGAAAAAGTGAGTCTTATAGAGCAAAAAATACGGTAATTCTAGAGGATGATCTGTGCCTACAAATCTGGGTACAGAATCTGACCACCAGCCAGGTCATCTTGTGATCTTTGCCTAAGACCCATGCATTTGAAACACATCTAGGAACTTGCAGAAGGGCTCTGAGGAGTTTGGATTGCACACTTTCAAGGGGAATAAACGAGGAGGGAGGCGGGCCCAGGACAGACTACATTACAGAAGTTGAGCATATGGTTCACAGCTCTAAACACAGTCATGGTCGTCTGTTCCTCTGTCTGATTTCTGTTGAGCGTGTTGGGTCACCGATGCTGTAGGATTCTTGCAGACAGCAAGTCGCCTTCTCCAGTGCCTCTGCCAGCCTGGCTTTAGCTGAAGATCCAGTCTGCACAGAGACAGCTGGATGGCATCATCCCCACCCTGGCAGGGGGAAGCAAGAATGGCCACCTTGTACAAGGAATCTCTGTCCGTTTCTTTACTTATGCAAAGGACCACCTGTGCCAATCCCCCAGCAAAAAAAAAGGAATGTGCAAGGCTAAGCTTCTCCAAACACACTGACCTACTCTAGCAATCTCTTTTTGCAATCGCAGAGTTGAGGGCAGGCAGAGAAATCATTCAGACCAGTCTGCCCCCCACCCCACCCCCTGTCTCATTATTATAGTTCAACTGATACAACTGGTCCAGTATATTTGAAGGAGCGTCTCCACCCCCATCGTTCTACCCGGACACTGAGGTCCAGCGCTGAGGGCCTTCTGGCGGTTCCCTCCCTGTGAGAAGCCAAGTTACAGGGAACCAGGCAGAGGGCCTTATCGGTAGTGGCACCCACCCTGTGGAACGCCCTCCCACCAGATGTCAAAGAGAAAAATAACTACCAAACGTTTAGAAGACATCTAAAGGCAGCCCTGTTTAGGAAAGCTTTTAATGTTTAATAGATTATTGTATTTTAGTGTTTTGTGGGAAGCCGCCCAGAGTGGCTGGGGAAGCCTAGCCGGATGGGCGGGGTATAAAGAATAAATTATTATTCTTATTCTTATTATTATTATTAGTGCAGTGTGGTGCAGATAAATCCTAGTACTGAACGGTTGGCTGTCCCTGAACTTGATTTTCCTCACCCAGAAAACCAATAATTTGCTTAACTGAAAAGTGTGGCGTTTGTCATAATAGCTCCAGTTGTGGGGAAACCGTTGGACTCCCAGAAGTTGCTGAGGCTCAAAATATTGCCATGGACTTTTATTCGCAGAAACTAACAAAGCTGGCTCTACTCCTCCAGCTTCAGGCTGTTGCTGGAAACGTGATTTCAGGCCAAGGGCTCCCTTTTTTTTTTTTTAGGTCCAGGATCTTGCACGACACTTTCTTGGGTGCTGTGCAGGGGGACAGACCACTTTCCCCAGGGCTGCAATTGAGGCATCTGAATATAGACTGCATTTTTAATCAAGGCTTATATTGGCTTATATTTTGATCAGGTTCCTAAATTTTAAAATGAGCTTAAAGATTTTCAAATGTTTTATGCCAGGCAGAAGACCAGCTGCCTAAGTACTTTGGCAAGATGTTTATCCTCCTGGACAAGGGGCCCCCCTGATTTATAGCAGAAAACAATTCTCAAAGTCGTAAGAAGGGAATTACAGGCTGAGAGCAAGGTTACACTGACCCTACATAATTAAGAGTTGGTAAATAGTAAAATAAAACCATGTGCCTCCCATTAAACTTGAGCCATATCTTCCTAAGGTTAAAGGCCAAGAGCAAATGGAAAAGAAAGCAACTGGCTGGAGAAGGGGGAGTGTAAACAGAAGAAGAGGCTTTTTTCCTATTTTATTTTGAGGCTGTAAACTGTTCCTTCCTTTTACTTTGAGAAGGTTTATTCTTCTAAAAAGCTATCTATGATAATGTATGAAATATGCTGGCTTAAATGTAATTATGCAAAGGATCTAGAAAGAAAGAAATGTTAAATTCTTATTTCATAGAGTCATATTGCTGTAGGAGACCAGAGGGGCAAACGAGCCCAGCCCCCTGCCAGACAGGAGACACCATCAAGCACTCCTGACATATGGTTGTCAGGCCTTTGTTTAAAGACCTCCAAAAAGGAGATCTTTCATTGATGATGCATGAGAATGTGAACCCAAGATCTCTGACATCTGTTTAAGATAAAAATTTAAAACTATAAACCATCTGTTTTGGAGGGCAATAGGGCAGGGAGGGCAAGAGGTGAGCTGGTAATTAAGGATCCTTGTTGAGACAAATGTAAGATATATGACTACTTATTTGTCATTTATAGATAGAA